TAGGTTAATTAGCGTATAGAGCGTAGGCTCTAGGGTTAGGATTATAGTAGGGGTGACTAGGTTGTACACCTTAAAATGCTTAGTGGCTTAGGTAGGCAGGCTGTGTCTCTAGAACATTTGTTAGGTAGTAATAATAGTCTAGTAGGTAGCCTACATTTTCCTAGCTAGAGTCCTAATATTAGATGCAAAGACACTATAGGAGCATAGATAGGTTTTTATATTTCCCTCTACACTCTACTTTATTGTAATATAGCCGCAATTATTGTATTTAAGGGAATTATAAGAAAGTTAGAGGGACTTAATAATAATATATAGCTAAGGAGGTAGTAGGATATTAGTAATATCTTTATAAAGATTGTCTATCTAGCTATTAATAAATTCCTAAAGCATTTCGCGCTTAAGGCAATCTATATAATTAGCATGCTTGCTAGAAAAGTGCTAAAAGATATAAGATAGGATAAGGCAATAATAATAATATTTGCATACTATAATCCTAAATCCTAGTTTAGGATAAATAGTAATATAATTAGTAATGCTTATAATAGAGGAAGAGATAGAAGCTAATAGGTAGTAGTATACAAGTAAGGTAAAAAGATTTTAAAAAGGAGGGTAAAGATAGGACACTACTTATTTTAACCAAGAATTAGACCCTAAATTGCTATAAAACGTCTAACTTAGCTAATCTAACTATTTTAGCGTTAGGGCAGTAGTAGAACACTTATACCTTATAACTTTAAACCTTTCTCCTTCCTTACACACTACAACCTTCTACTTAGCATATAATACTATACTCTCTTTATAATAAGTAAACTACTATTTATACTAGTTAACCTATTAAATAATATTAAGCAGGTAAACGCGATCTTAGGCGTGGATAGTATACTATTGCGTGCTAGTCTAGTTATATATAGCTAGGTTGCTAATAATTTTAATCCTACTAAGGCTTTAATTACTAGAGATCTATACTACGCCTTAGTTTAGATATGTTGCAACACGAACTGCTAGAAGTTAATTAAGGCAATTAATAATATCTATAATAACCTAGTAACTAAAGCTAAAGAAAGAGATAGTAATAGTTAAGGTATATAGGGTTGCAGCTAGTTAGTTATTCTAGTAATAGTACCTAAGGAGAGCAAGGTGGCAAATATAGGTAGGCGCAAAAGAAAACGTGGTATAAAAGAAAAAAGTATAAAGTAAGTAAATAAGGCCCTAGTTAAAAAGATAAACCTTATATTAGTCTAAACTATTGCTAGCAAATAGGATTAGAAGTCTGTAAAGGCAGAGGTAACCCTCACAAATAAGTAGCAACGTTATTAGAATTTTGCAAGGAGCCTCCTAGGTGCAGGGGTTAATATTATGGCCTAGATAATATTAAATACAGAGGTGGTTAGGTCTAGAGAGGCCTTTCTAGATTAGCAGGCAATTATTATTAGGTAGAAGAGGCAGCATTATAAGGCAAAGAAGCAGTTTAAACAAGTAATAATAGCCTGCACAACCCTAGTAGCGCACGTATTCTAGATAGACAATTTAGGTCCTAATCTAATAAACTTATAACTTATCTACTCTTAGTAGGAGGGATATAATATAGTAGATAAAATAGGGCTTACTATACTATAGTAGGAGATATTCTAGTACTATCTTATAGACGTATAAAAGAGTAGGATTAAGAGCTTTATAGAGGAGATGCGGCAAAGATAGAAGCTAGATATCCTCTATAAGGAATATCTTTCTCTTAAGAAGATAATTTATAGCATAGCCTGTAGCATAGGTGTAAGGGGTGTAGGATATAGATCTATAGCAAAGGACTACCTCTTTAAGGTTATATACGCGTCTAATAATAGTTATATACCTAATAAGAGAGATAACCTAGAACTATACAAGCTATTTAGGGGTTTACTAGATTAGGGTAAGAAGTAGAATACTATAAAGAAACGCTTTAGTATAGTTAGGATCTTTAGGCTTCTTCTAAAGAGTATTAGAGCAAATATCTAGTTTAAACAGGTGACCTAGATATAAGTCACGCAGTAGTTAGAGATAGTAGTAGAGTGTAATAAGGATACAATATCCCTAGCGCAACGTATTAAGCTACTTTTTATAGTATTTATTAAGGAGCGTCTACTACTATAAGAGTTTCTCTTCTTAGAGCAGGTTAATTAGTATCTAAGGGAGCGACCACTACTAATGCTTAATAGGTATGTGTATATTAAGATAATTTACTCTAAAGCTAATAGTTATATAGTTACTAGGGCACCCCCCCTGTAATAAGGAGAGTAGAGGAGGTGCAAGTTAACAAAGACAAGGCCCTTAAATTAACTATTAAGGGGGCGTTTAGGGCTAAGACTGCCTTAGAGATAGGCACTACGTATAGTAGCATTACTATCCTATAGTTAAGCATGTAGATAGTAGTTATTATTAACACATATAATTAGTTATGCAAGTGCAGGTGTAGTAAGGTGTAGGAGGGGGACGTTTTAGCGAGGGTAACAGGGTGTATTTCACACGTAGCTACTAACCCTATTACCCTTAAGTAAACCCTCTGTCTATATTAAGACCTCTGTATTGCTCTATTAGTAATAGAAATAATTTTAATAAATGCTGCACCCTTAAATAATAGTCTATGTAAGAAGAATTCTTTACTAAAGGCAGGACTTTTATAAGGAAATAGGTGGTAGGGGTTATAGGAGACAGGTTTTAGGTCTAGGTTTGCAGGAAATAGGTTTTAGGTAGTAGGGGTTATAGGAAACAGGTTTTAGGTCTAGGTTTGCAGGAAACAGGTTTTAGGTGTAGGTTTGCAGGAAACAGGTTTTAGGTGTAGGTTTGTAGGAAACAGGTTTTAGGTGTAGGTTTGTAGGAAATAGGTTTTAGGTGTAGGTTTGCAGGAAACAGGTTTTAGGTCTAGGTTTGCAGGAAACAGGTTTTAGGCAGGGGTCGTAGGAAACAGGTTTTAGGTAGTAGGGGTCACAGGAAACAGGTTTTAGGTTTTAATTTTCCTCGCACGGTTATTTCCTGCAAGACGCTAGTAGCGCACAGTCCTCTTTGGAGTCATTTCCTAGCAGGAAACGACTTTCCTATAATATGTAGAAAGTAAGGTTTAGCATCCTTAGGGAATGTGTAATGTTTATCTAGAGGTAGTAATACTACTCTAATTAGGGTACTTCTCCTCTAATAGCAAGACTCTAGAATTATAACTTAAAAGTAGGGAATGTCTCTATATTATATATATATAGGTAGTTAAATATAGTCTAACTCTTAGCTATCTTATTTTCTATAATAAAGAAGGTTTAAAGAAGGGTAATTATATCTTTAGCTTTTTAGAACTAAAGACTTAAGGAGTTAGATAGGTAAAATAGCTCTAAGTATTCTCTTACTAGTCCTAAGTAGTGTCCCTAGACTAACGCTATCTATGCTCTAGAAGAGGGGTAGTAATTAGCGTTAATCTCTAGCTAATCCTAAATAGACGCTTGCTATTATCTAAAAGTAGGATTAGCACTATTACTAAGTATAGAGATATTTAGCATCTTTTTAGATTATCTATTAGCTTTTATAGTATATACTATAGGGTTTAATATAGAAGCTAAAGACTAGCTAGGTTAGGTAGTACCCTATATCTCTTTATAGAGAGAGGTGTTATATAGCTAATTAGTAAGTTACTTTACTTATTCCTCTAACCTCTTCTTTTTAGATAGGGTTAATATATATTTATCTTTAAGGGAGGTGTTACTTTAAGATTTCCTAGGACTATAAGGTACCTTAAGAGATAGATAGGAAGCAGGTCCTTCTAGGAGGGCATTATTAATCAAGTCTTCCTTATCTAATTTCTTTCTATTATTAAATAGGCTTTTAAAAGTAGCTAAACTAGATACTCTTCCTTTACCTTTATCTAATATTTTATAGTTAATAAGAATAATAAATCTTTTCTTTTTCTTTTAGGGGGTTTACTTATAGAAGGATATTAGCTTTACCTCTAATTCCTCTAGGCTTTTAGTAGTCTCTAGGTCTCTACCTTAACGCAATCTAACGCGATTTTTCTAAAGGTAATCTAGCACTCCCTATAGGTCTAGAAGTCTAAGCCTATAGGCTTTAGTTATTAGAAGTTCTAATAGCTATTCTAACTATAGAGTTATAGGGTTAGATAACTACTAGAACTAAATTAGTAGCTTAAAATAATAATAAATATAATATTCTTAAATACTATTACTAGCTAGGATAATATTCTTCTTATAATATAATAACTTAAGTAGGTAGGGTATCTAAAAGGTATCCTATATAACTTAAATGTATATAGGAGTGCGCGTCTATGTAGAAAAGAATAAGATTCCTACACCTATAGGTCTTGTATAAAAGGATAAGAAGAATATACCTATTCTAACTATAGGCGAGCTGCTCTCTATATATATTAGTAAGTCGGGCCTTTATTAGGCCTAACTTGGCATAGAATAATAGGTAGGCAATTCTGCCTTATTGTTACAGAGTCGTTTCCTAGCAGGAAACGACTTTCCTACAATATGTAGATATTATAGTAATAGATAAAGGTTTAGTAGTAGATTTAAATAATACTAGTTAATTTAATATTAAATAACTTAATACTATATATATTAATTCTTACGGGTATTTATACTACCTATAATCACGTAATCTATCTAGCTTAGGCCACTCTAGCCTATGCTTGGGTTATTAGGGTCGGTAGGGCCTTGTGTCCTAACAGCTATAAGCGCGTTATTAATAGGTGCTATAGTTATTAAGAAATTTGGTGTTAAAAATTTGGTGATTTTGGTGTTGGTGGGCGCTCGGTGGGGGTGGGCGCTCGGTGGTGGATCACGTTACTCATGCGCTCGGGTAGTTTGAGTATCATGTGATTTGCCACTGCTATATCCCAGGCCATATTGATGCTACAAGACAAGTAACGTGATCCTCAAACTAGCCGAGATAACTAGTACCACTCTTGACAGCGAGCCTACATTGTTAAATCAGCCTGTCGCTCTTGTAGAATAGTTCTCGCCATGAACCACCTTATTTCCGAGGTTGGCGCTGTGCAGCAATCACAATGTCCGGTCCATATTTCCAAGCGACGCAAAAGGCGGCATGTTGACCCCGAGACGCGCCACACATCTCCGTCCTATTCGGCTCCATCGAATTTATCAAACCCAACGTCACAATTGTCGGTCGCGCCCACACGGTTATCAAAACACGTTACGGAAGCGCTTAACAATACAAATCAGTTCGTGTCAGACGAGCGCGCATTGTTAATACAGCATTGGCTTAAGACGTGCCGAGTTGATCTGATGGCACCACCAACACCACGAAGCGCATCTGTGTCATCCAGTCGTGGAAGACGCTCCTCTAAGCATTCTACACGTGCATCCCGGACGCCCAGTCCTAGCAAGCGAATATCGCCGCAAACGTACCGTACACAGAACATGTCTTACGCTGGAGTCCTGATCGACGACCTGGATCAACTTCCTCAGGAGATCGAACGCAGAATGCAGCATATACTGGAAGCTGAATCCTTAGAGGACGTGATCGGTATAACAGATCACGAGTCGCAGCATGCGACCCATGTGAGAAGGTTTCTGGATCAGTCGCGTTATAACGCAAGAAGTTGTTCGCTCGAGGGGGACTGGAAAGCTAGTTTGTTCAGTCTTCTGGGAGATTTAGCGCAAGGAAACTTCCAATGCCATACATCAGAGAAGCGTGAGTTCAACGGCCATGCCTGGACCGCTTTTTGAAGTGCTGACTCTCCTCCAAGTCTGGAACACCGACCTCAAGCCCTCGCCGCCTGGCTTGGCCCAGCTCGACGATGAAAGTGGCGCGTCAACACCGCGCTTTCCACAGCCGCAATCCATGCTCCCCGACTTCGATTCACAATCAGGTTCTGGTTTCCCAGGGCCGGTGCCTTCTCTGCGACCATACACACCTTCTATCACTTATACTACCAACAGCGAAGCAGCCGACCCATTCTACATATCGACACCAAAGCCAGACATTGTGATAGGACTTGAAGACAGGGCTTTTGCGCGAACGCATCGAGTTCGGCTAGCCAAACACCAAAGCTCTGGATCGATTCTGAGCGACCCACATACGGCTGCCATGGGCTTGCGTTTTCCCTTTCTAATTGTAGAGACGAAGGGCCTGAGCCTAAATGGGGGTCTAGTGGCTGCGCAGAATCAAGCTGCTATTGGTGCGGCTTGTATGCTAAAGATACTGGAAGATCTTGAGAATCAGGCTGTATTGCCTACGGCACCCGCATCTCTAGCAGAAGCCCCACTCTGTTTCTCCATTACGACCGAAGGTCCAGTGCATGAGTTGTGGGTGCATTTTAAGCTTGGGGACGCGACTCATATGCACAATATCAGGACGTGGCGCATGACACACGAACGTCACGTGCGGGAGCTAGTGTGTTGCCTCGCTCGAATCTTGAAGTGGGCGAAAGACGACTTCATGGAGAAGATACGGGAGAAGCTAGATGCGCTACCGGGATAAATGGTTGTTACCAGCGTCTTGCTTCGACTATCAGTCGCGTTAATCTCTGAATTCTGGGCGGCCCTACGGCAGACGACATATATGGTACGCTTTTCTCCTTTGTAGTTCAGTAGTCTGCCCTCGTCAGTCTTAAAGCTCGGCCAACACCATCATATCTCCCCTTGCCTTCCATGTACATCTTCATCATCTCTCATCCTACTATACTGGCCGATCTGTTTCCCACCGCTTGCTTTCCCGCCCCACAATAACGGCCTCGTCTACCGCTCTCCCTGTTTACTGCTCTCCTGCGCACAGTCTAGCACCGTGTATGGCCTGTCTATATTGAAAACGCAACAGAAATCCTCCAGCCCGCTCTTCCGCTAAGCGGACGGATTATCCAAAGTGCTTACGGACGTCAATTGTGGTCAGCCTGAGCCAGCTAGTAGGAGGTTCTCAACTTGCTCCAGACGGCTACCAGGACAACTGCCTCGCAAGGAGACATGCCGTGAACCTTGCCTACGTAAATGCACTCAGATTGCATTATAGTTTCACAATTAGTAACACATAAATTTCTTACTGTTCTACCTAAAAAGGACCTAATCTATCTCCTGCGTGATTATGTTTATTTTATCTTCTTTAATTTAAGTAAATATCCTACACAAGCAACGTTACGTCAGTGTACCCCAATTGCTATAGAAACAACCCTAGTAATAGCGGACACAGCACAGATCTGCAACACTTTGACAACGCAATTTTGCAAACGCTAACTAAAATAGAAAGATACCACTCAAAACGAACAACGTTTAGTGTCTCTAAAAGTCGCGTATGAAGTTACAAAAGGATTGGCAAAGACACTTTAGCCTACCTCATGGGTGTCTTTCAATGCTACCGTCATGCTTATTCGACAGGTGCTTGGAGTAGTGGCAAGTTGACTATCCTCTTAAGAATGCATCAGGACAGGAACTATAGAGTAGGCGCTAATAATGACATACATGAAAGTCAATACAAGACGTTATTGGACCATGCCGCGGCATTGGAGCAGTTAAGCGAGTTTGTCTTCCTATACCGTAATGTCGGAGTTTGCGACGAGCACTCTGATCATAGATGAAATTTGTTCCTTGATCTATTCATTCAGAAATTTTCTTAATTCGTCCTAGTTGCTCCAGTCCCCTGATAGATAGTGTTGGACCAGTTTAGATGGGATAAATCATTTGCGGGTATGGCAGTCCATGCAACACCAAAATCACCAAATTTTCAACACCAAATTTCTTAACAACCATGGCACCTATTAACGACGCGCTTACAGCAATTAAATCCTTAACTCTTAGAGAAGATTTTACATACTTAGAAATAGTAGAAAAGTATAGTTACTTGTAGTTAACCTTATCTAGACGCCACTAGAAAATTTAGTAGGCGCGCACTACTACTCTACTAAATAGTTAAATACTTAATACCACGCAAGAAAGCAAGCTTATAGAGTATATTAAAGAGCTTTATAGGTAAGGATTACCCCCTATATAGACTATTATTTAAAATTTTATAACTAAAATAATAGGGAATCTAGTAGGCAAAAATTAAGTGTAGCGCTTTATTAACTACTATAATATTAATCTTATCTCCTATTAGGCTACTAGGCTTAATTATAACCGCTTTAAAGCTAATTCTACCTTTAAGTATAGCTTATACTTTAAGCTTTTATACTAAAAAATAGAGTAATATAATATTAAGAGTTAGTATATCTATAATATAGATAAGAAGGGTTTTCTTATTAAAGTACTATTAAAAACTAAATATATATTTAATAAGAGCGCCTATAAGCAGAGAAAGATTAGAGCTATACTCTAGGATAGTAATAGGGAGTAGATTACTACTATAGCTTGCATATGCGCTAATAGTACTGCTCTTACCCCTACCCTTATTTATTAGTCCTAATCTAGAGCTGTTGCAGGAGGGATATTAACCGGATCACGGAGCATCTTGATCCGATCAATCCCGATCAATACCCCTGTATGACCCACTATCTGATCGACTGCCAGCTCACTGCCAAGCGCCCAACAAAAAGCAGGAGCTCTGGTAAGGAAGGTTTACCAATTATTCACCTTCTAGTAAGGGTAGCTAAAGCTCTATATATATGAGTCCGATCGTAGTAGATACAATCCAATAATCTATCTCCTAAATCATTCCTAACCTTAGTAATCTAATTTTCTATAGTTATAAGCCTGGTTCGCGCTTTACCTTATTAAAGATCGTCCTATCCATTTAAGCGTATTGTTTGACTTGGACACTAAGCTAGCAAAGCTTCACTCTTTCTTTATACCATTTCTTAAGCAGAAGCTTACTTATTACTCTTCCACCATAAGCGACCAAATCCTAAAGGGGGATATCCTACTCACTAGATTAACTAACTGGCCCACCTGGTACATTCAATTCAGATACCATGCCCTAACTAAAGGGATCTAGGCAGAGGTAGACCCTAAGGCTCTAGATGCTAAAAACCACTTTAAGAATAAACCTATTAAGCCTAACATGCTAACAAATATCGCGCTATCTAACACAACAAGCGAGCAGTACAAGCTCCAAATAGCTTAGTACTAAGCCTGCTTATTAGATTAGGCATCAAAGTTATTAGCAATCTAGAACCTCTTCACATGGGTTAACAACACAGTGGATTAAGGGATCCTTACCCTAGCCTATATAGAGCTTGTTAATTAAGGAAGAGTAACCCTCTAAGCACTTATCTAAGTGCTCTGCAACAACCTAGCGCTAACTAATTTAAGCGCTGCAACACTGGCGAGATTATAGTACAAAGCTTATCTTGCTAAAGCAAAGATAAGCAGTTAAGACGCTGATTGCTGGCAAAAGGAGTGGACGATCCTATATACGCGAGCTAAGGTATACAACGTTCCTAATGTTAAAGGATAGCTCGCAGTACAGGATTATCTTAAAGCTCTATCTACTAGGATCTTACTAGATTAGGGTTAAACCATATTTTAAAGGATTATTAAAAAGTTAGTAATAGGAGAGCTAACATACAACCTCCTGCAGGTTGCTAAGATCTATTTATCACTTCTCTAAGAAAACGACATGAGATCAAGCTCTAGGGGTCCTGGAGTATTTGCAATAATAGGAGCTCTACCTTCTAATTAACTAAAGAAGGAGTCTTTATGCCTATGCAGTAGATCTTACCTATAGAAACCTCCTAAATGCAAAAACGTTATTGAAGCTTGGACTAATACAGGTAACATAGCTCACTACTACTTAACGATTAGAGATTAAGAAAAGGATTAATAGGAATCAAAAATTCAAAGAGTTAAGGAAAGCTCTAATTAAGTCCCATCCTATCAATTAAGATTATGGTGGTGAGGCAAGCACGATCACCTATCTAGGTAGTATCTAGGCGGCACTGATTAACCCTATGTTAATAGCGGAGAAAACGAATAGGATCTATTTAACTATAGACTTTAAAGCTTACGCTCTATTAAAGAGCACTATCTTTAACAATAGAGGTGCAGTGCACCTAGTTAATAATATAAGCTACCTAGAAGAAAGCTTGTTTAGATTAGTTAAATATAAGACAGTTAAAGCAGGAACTTAAGCTTTTCTAATCTTAGGCAGAGGGACTAGAGTGATCCCTAATGCTCTTAATAGACCAAGAGGTCTAAAAACAGAAGATTTGGTGCTCACCGACGTGGTGTTAGTAGAAGGTTTTCATGTGAATATTATATTAGAAGCTTAATTACTTAAAGCAGGAGTTTGGTTCCTTAGGCTAGATGCCACCTTACAGTTTAGATTATTAGAGAAGAGCGTTATATTAGCTAAGTTACTGCGCAAGTTTAACTTAACTTTCCTAGAATACAAGCCCTCTACCCCTTACTAAATAATCCAAAGCATAGTGCCTAAACAACACTAACGATCCTAGATAACTTACCTAAGACACGATAGTAAGGAGCTTTAGCACCAATAATTAGGCCATTTAGGACCTAAGGCGCTTAAAGCTCTAGTTAAGTTAGCAATAAACATTAGGATTAAAGGAACTCCTAGGAGCAAATGCGAGCACTGCGCTATTACACATGCCTAATAGGTTATATTAAGACAACCAAGGGAAAGATCACCACGTCCATACTACTAGGTATTATGGGATCTATTTGATATGCTAACAGGTATGGCTCACGAGCAATGGATCTTGGTATTAAAGTGCGATAACTTAGGAAAGCTTTATACCTATCTACTGCAAGCCAAAAACCTTAATAAGATTATGTAGGTGTTTAAAAATTTTAAGAGCTTAATACTTAACTAATATAAGCTTAGCATAGTTAAGATTATGCAAGATAATAACGTTGCAACGCTCCCTTAGCGTGGCGAATCTCGCTTTTAGATCTGGGTAGCTAATAATAGTATTAAAATTGAGAGCTTACCCGTATATACCTATAAACCTAATAGAGGAGTAGAAAGAGCAGGGCAAGAGATTATAACAAAATCGATCAAAATAAGGATTAGTGCTAACCTACTAACAAAGCTCTGGCCTAAAATTGTTAAAGCAGTAACTTAGCTCTACAATATAAGCCTGTCTTATGCTCACGATATAATATTACCTAACGAAGTGCTAGATTGTTGGTTTACTAGATACTTTAGGTGGTGGCAACCAGAGCAGATAAGGGAGGCAACTGCTAATCTCTGCCCTGATTGGAGCGGAATATACGCCTATGGCTGTCGAGCTTACCCCCTTAACTAAGATTAAGCAGCTAGGCGTCACAAGAGGGTTTTTAAGGTGAACCCTTAGGGTTATATTAGATATCTAGTAGGATACAGAGCATCTAACATATACAGGATATAGATCCCCTTGCTTGATTAGATTATTACAACGCGGAACGTTACCTTTAATAAGGATCTTTTCTACAAAGAGAAAGATCTAGAGTAGCTTTAATAGTTAGAAGCTTAAAAGATAGTTAATATTATTAGCAAAGATAAGATCTGCGATGCAGGAGAAGCGTATAAAGAGCTTAATATCTTTGATTAGCTTT